GGAAGAAGATCGCAGAGATAATGACAGAGAAGAATCAGGCTGCTTGGTAAGATGGAACCACAGAGAGAAAAATAATCAAATAAATTATTTGTTTGAATGCCAAAAAATCATAATTGTTATTTTCTCTTCTGTAAATAATTCTGTGGACTAGTAATGCTGTTCATTTTCTCATTTTAATAGCAAAAATCATGAATTCGCTGTTAGACTAAAAATTATTACTTACAAATTCTATTAGTTGTTACAAAGCATGACTTTTATTTATAATCATGAGCTGATATACAATCCTCATTAAGAACTGGCTTTTTTGAAAGTTGATTATAATTCTTAAACCCTTGAATTAGTATTTCTATTTTATTCGTGACTGAAATTTTGCCAATTTTTCCAATGTCCATTAAAGGACATTTAAAGTATAAATTCACAGATACATTTGATTGTGAAATAAAATTTTAGCCCTGGTTGGTGTGGCTCATCTTTCTCCACTTCTTATAAAGAGCTCTATCTTCTCTTTTGTTTTGGTCATGTCTTGGATTGTTTAGTTTTACAACCACATTTAGTTATACAGTGGGGCCTTGACTTCCGAGTTTAATTCGTTCCGAGACCGAGCTCGTTAAGGAGCTCGTTAACTCAAATTACTCTATCAACTCAATGCAAAAAATCGGCGGAGAGACAGCTGGTATCTCAAAAAACTCGTTAGTCGGGACACTTGTCAGTCAAGGCCCCACTGTATATTTCTAAACCATATAATTCAGTTGCACCTATTCTTAGAGCTTCGTATAGTAGAATCACGGGTGCAAATTGTTCCTGTGTTGTGTTCCTTTCACTTAACATTCTATCTAGGAGTTCTGTCCACTCTGTTACTAGCGTGAATGTTAATATGCCTGAACTGACCAATTATTATTTTTTGATATTTAATGTATTTTAAGAAATTCTTACTTATCCCAACATCATGAAAGTATTTCCCTCTGTTTTCTTCTAGAAGCTTAGTATGTTGCCTTTTCTACTTAGATCCTCATTCCATATCAAGCAGTTTTGTGTAGGTGGTATGACAAAGTAATCCTATTTCTGCTTTTCCCAAACAAAAACCCAAATTGTGGAACCATTTATTCAGAAGTTCACCCTTTCTCATATACTGTTTCATTATGGCCCTGTCATATATGAAGTGTCCATATATCCGTCCATCATTTTCTAGGCCAGCTTGTTCTTAACAGCATTTTGTAAATTTAGTTGTTTCAGGGAAGATGGCTACAAAGTCAATAAGGCACACCCTTTCTTTCAATTGTCTCTTATTCTCAAACTTCATTGAAAAACTGCTGAGGAAGCAGTCAGTTGCAGTAATCTGACATATCTTTACATTATTTTGAAAGATTACAAGAAAAGTATTACCATGTTCCTCGTGATTCACTGGCACTTGTGGTTAAGCAAAAAAAAAAAGTTAGAACTCAAGGTCAAGCTTTTTATTATTTTGTATTATCGTAAGTGAATAATTGCATATGTAAAATGTTTCTCTTATGGGAACACAATTCACCACCCTCTGACTTTAGAATTCATGCCCATGGTTTGAGATCATTGTTAAGTTGGAGTTACTAAAAGTGAATCCCTCATCCAGAGCTCCTGTGAGTTATGAAAAGGATGAGGATTTCCACGGCCTGCCAGAGATTATGCATTTGCTGGTGAGCCTACTGCCTAAGGGTGTTTCTAGAATATGATAACTACAATCACAAGGCTTCAATTTATTTAGGGCCCCGTGTGCTCCTGTTCTACCCTTCAGAGCAGACATAATTCCTCCAGGCTTAGTCTATTTTCTAAAAGTGAGAACACTCACTTAAAATGCCTGTGCTTAGGTTCTATTCTCAATCTTTAGCCAAGAGAGAAAGACAGCTGAAAACCCAACTTTTAATATTTAACCAAAAAAAAAAAAAAAACAGTTTCGTGTTAGCAAGCTCACTGTAGATTCTCCAATTCAATGACCTCCTCATAAAATAATCACCTCTTGAGTCATAATGTAGTTTCAGACCAAAATTTTAAAAGTACTTCATAATACTCATTAATTTAAAAATACAAAGATAAGCCTTCTTAGTCGACAAAATGCATCTTGTAAAAAGAATGATATTTCTTTTTCTTTAAGCTCTGACCATGATCTTACTATGTTTAGTTGTTATGATCTTGCTGTTCTATATCTGTGGTAAAAATGATAATATGATTCTGGAGAAGGAGCTAGATGAAGAAAGACAACTGAAAAATATTTGGCATAATTATCGTAACAGGCTTAATATGTTTTACATTCATAACCACTGCCTTTCAGAAACTATGTCAACACAATATCCTGTATGAAGTAGCTTATGTCAGTAATAAAATGCACTGGTAGAATTTTGCCGATCACTTTTTGAAATTACGTGGTCTTTCAAAATGATGAAGCTAGTAATTAAATTGGGAAAATATAGATTTTCCATCTCTGTGTATTACTCACAAATTCTGTATTTGAGGTTGGACATTTGTGAACAATAAAGTCTCTGATAATTATTTTTGAACACAGATATGAAACAGCAAAGAAACCAGAAAGCTGTTCTAATCCTTGTTGTTGAGATGGTCCTGATATGTCAAAAACAAAGTCAACTTCTCCAGACGGACTCAGATCCATTATATTGGAGGGAGAGGTAAAGAGAACTCTCTGAAATTTAAGGAAATACTAGCTAGACAAACGAAATATCTCACTGTGGCAAGGCAAAAGGAATCTTCATGAGTATATTATATTGCTCATTCCATGCCAACCATCAATGATCATAGATAGCATCATTAGGCAATGTTTCAAAGGTCAGATAGAAGTTATGGTCTGGTCCCAGCAGAGGACAAGGACATCATATTCCATGGCTTACAAACAGATAACTTCCATACATGCTTGTTCAAGTGACAAAGATAAAGATATCAGAAAGTCGAGAAGTATAGGACTAACGAAGGTCGTTAGGAATAGAGTTCCATGAATTCTAAGTGGAATATACGAGCCTTAAAAACCAACCCAGAGATGTTGTTTTCCATTAGCTTTCACTGTGGCAATCCAAATAATTTTGATGCCTCTCATACATTCAGCCTAGAATCTCTAAAACAGTGGTTCTCAACCGTCCTAATGCTGCGACCCTTTAATACAGTTCCTCATGTTGTGGGGACCCCCAACCATAAAATTATTTTCGTTGCTACTTCATAACTGTAATTTTGCTACTGTTATGAATCATAATGTAAATATCTGATATGCAGGATGTATTTTCATTGTTATAAATTGAACATAATTAAAGCATAGTGATTAATCACAAAAACAATATGTAATTATATATGTGTTTTCTGGTGGTCTTTGGCGACCCCTGTGAAAGGGTCGTTGGACCCCCAAAGGGGTCGCGACCCACAGGTTGAGAACCGCTGCTCTAAAACATGCCAACCCTTGTTTACAACTCACAATCAATCAACAGATGGGCCAAACTCCAACAACCACACACAAGACACCTCCGACCTCCCAATAGAGATGCCAATAGATTGTGGAGACAAGCGTGCACCAGTTTGGTTGACAGACTGTTAAAACCCTCCTGCAGAATGCTGACATAGAAGACATTCCCACCACCTTCAACTCAAGTCATTTCACACAATCTGTGAAGGAAAACAGGCTTAACCAACACACACATGAAAAGGAATACAACTGGAATCATATTATACTGATTGCATTTCAGAACATCTTTAATATTTGTCATTTTACTTTTAAAAATAGAGTAAGTCTTTTTTGTAGACTTGTGACCATGCTCTGGCTGCCTGGACTAGGGATTTCTAACTACACACACACACACACACACACACACACACACACACAGAGTAATTCTGTGATGTTTCATAGAACTAGTTCAGTGCCTTCTGTTTGGTAAATACTAGTAGGCATTGCTGATAGAATTTATACATTTCCCAGGCTATAAAGACCACATACAGACCAGAAGCACAGTGCCCTCTGGTGCACAGATACAACATAAAATAAAACATATATATCACATATTTACATATTGACACACAAATGCAAAGCTAAGTTTTGCTTCTCTATGAATGTTCAACAAATCACTGGGAATCGTAAGTTTCTATCTCAAAGAAATGAGCCAATCAAAACTTCCATAAAACATTCTCTATGGCATAGACTCAGGCACAGTTGTATAACCTCTATTTAATGGTTTCATTGGGCTTGAGGGCAGGAAGTCTGTTGGATTTCACATACAGCTTCTTTTGTGTAACTATTTAGAGTTAAACATAGAAGAGCAGTAAAAGTTAAAGCCCCTATATCTCAATCCCTTCTTCTTTCTTGGCCTTTGCTATCATGTCCTGTTTATCTTTTTCCTTCTATTCCATTGCCATTTCCGCCATTGCCATAGTATGAATGGACTCAACTTCTCAATGACTCGTACAAGACACCATTTCCACTGAAGCTCAGAAAACGTAACAACACAGCGTAGCATAAGTAGAAAGGAAAACACCATTCGGGAAAATTCACTGAACAGTGTTTACGATGATGAACTCAGCCTCCAAGTTCACTGGCATTGACCTGAAGGCACAGAAGGATTCTAGGATCTGAAAGGGACCCACAAGGGGTCACCGTTATCACGTTTTCCTGGAATATGTTACGTTACGTCGATGAGAAATACACTGAGTGGCCAGATTATGATGACCACCCCATCAGTACAATGAAGTGAATTAGTTATGTAAATAATAATAATAATAAAACCTTGAGAGCATTTGCTTAGGACATTTTCAATATTCAGTATTTTTGGAAGTGTCAATGAAGTACTGATGGGGTGGTCATAATCATCTGGCCACTCAGTGTGTGTTTAAATGACAAAAACATGACGGAGGCGAATGGTCAATAAGAACCCTCCTGATGACAACCCTCTCCCCTCGGAAACTCTCCCTTAGAGAAACCCATTCACATACAGCCTCCCAGGCAGAGAGCTCTGCACCGGCCTGCCCTGGGCCCCCAGTACCTGTATATCTTGTATCTTGTGCTAAATCCCTGCCGGCTTCGGTCCACAAAATCAGTGTATTCCTGTGAGCGATGGAAGGGTCCCTTGTCATACAGGAGCCAGTCGAAGGGGCTTGTGGCATGCTGGTCGGAGACGGCAGCAACGGCGAACACCCAGCAATGCAGACTCAGGGCTATCCACTCCCATAGAGCCATCAGAGAGAGCACTTCAGCACCGGCTCCGCTGCGCCATACCATGCTTCCTCTGGGCACTTGGCGCCTTCATCCTCTTAGCTTGCCCTCAACACCTAGACGAAACACACAGGCCGTCAGTGAGCGCCCGAAGCGTGCTTTCCAGCATGAAGCTGTGGAGGAGGCTGATATATTTTTTTAAAAAAAAAATCTAGTTCCACCCATGCTGTTGCAAAAGGCAAGAGTTCCTTCTTTTTTACCGCAGCGTAGTATTTCATTGTGTAGATGGAACTGGAGAGCATTATACTAAGTGAAATAAGCCAGTCAGAGAAAGATAAATACCTCATGATTTCACTCATTTGTGGAATATAGAGAACAACATAGACTGATGAACAGGGACAAATCCAAAGACAGAGAAACAGCAATCAGACTATTAATCCCTAGAGGGAAAGTAGGGGAGGGAGGGGGCAAGGGGAAGAGATTAACCAAAGGACTTGTATGCATGCATATAAGCCAAACCAAAGGACATGGACAACAGGGGGATGAGAGCATGAGTGGTGGGGGGAGGATGGGGGTTTAATGGGGGGATGAGGACACATTTGTAATACCTTAACTAATAAAGAATTTAAAAAATAAATAAATAAATAAATAAATAAATCAAAAAATATCTAATAGCATTGCTTTAAACTGGACCATTGCAAAAGTGACCAAGGCAACTCAAATGACTGTGATCTGTCACAGCTGTGTCCCTGTCGCCCCCGTGTCCCTGTGAGTGTGTTGGGAAGGAAGGCATGAGTCACAAGGGGCTCCTCATGCCAGTGTCTGCAGTAGATCGTGAAGCCCTACAAAACCACAAGGAAAAGTCCGGACTCACAATTCTTTTTATTATTTTTTCTGCTTATAAATGTTTTATAACGTTGAGCACTTTATAAATAATGAATGTTTAATTATATTATAATTTGTTATAAATTTTAATGCTAAGTGTACTTGATTATTTAGTTATGTTAGGACAATTCTTGCAAATGAATTAAAGATATTTAGGTCGTTATTTTCATAACGTGGATGAAATTGGATGGACTAAAACTATGGGTTTAGGAATAAATAAATAAATGTTTATATATGTTTATATATGTTTATATATGTGTGTGTCTATCTGTCTATCTCTCTATATAGATAAATAAAGGAATGGATGGGTGTGTGGAGGGGGGAGAGTAGAAGTGTGTGTTGGCTCAGCTATTTTTTCCCATTATCCTATTAGAAACAAACCTTCCTGATTATTTAAACAGAATCATAGTTAAATTATGTTTAGGATCTTTAAAAGATTTCACTGTGCCCCTATGTATTATTCATGAGATAATTAGGCATACCTACAAAGTTCACATACACACAGAACCTAAGACAATGCAGATTATATGTAAACTGTGAACCCGTATATATTAATTTTAGGAACATTCAAAAATAAAGTAACAAGAGGCATGATCCCAGGGTGGCAGAGCAAAGCAACTTTACATGAAGCAGCTGATGCAACGTCTAGACACCACACACAAAAAATCCTACAAATAATCTGAATTCAAGTCTACTTTCTCTCTTCACCAATTTTTCCAACATTATTATTTATAGCACACAGAACTGAGCAGTATGTAAATTCTACTAATGAGAAAGTTTGGGTTGTAAAAGTTTCCTAGTCAGCAAAATCTCTTTAGAAAGCAATCAAAATGCCCAGTATTAGGTAAATATTTTAATTATAGCTGTCATATTTCTCTGGTGTTTGGATAAGGCAATTGATGGCTTTAATTTGCTTTCTAGTTATAGCCCTATAATTCATAATTTAATCCTAAACCATTTATTGATGAGAGGTATACAGCAATAATTTTGCAACTATAAAGAATGTCAAAACAGAAATACAATGTGAATGGCCAAGGTCATGATATCCACAGTCTTACCCACCACACAACTGAAAGCACTAATACCCATACACTATATGAGTTGCCCCAATCACATGAGCTATTTCACTGTGGTCATTGAAGAATGCCATCTTTGTAAACAACTTAGGAAGCCTTCCAAGTGAATACATTTAAAAAATGATTTATTATAAAAAAAATAAAATCACATAATAGAAACATTTTGAAATAGGGGTTGGGAGGTGCTGGGTCTCTATCAATTATTTGTCTAAATGGAGCACTGTCAAATGACTCAACTCATAATTTCCAATTCTGATGGAGCAAATAGATATTTTTACATAGTATTTTTCTTATGTGGGAGCTATGACATTTTTCGTAAAATCAATGCATTTCGCTTACATTCATAAACGAAGAATTATTATTATTATGCATAAAGGAACAGTATAATCCCCCTGTGACTAACAAATATTTCCTATCTTTGTTAAACACACATTTTTATTCTGCTGATCAAATATATTCAAACTCGCACCATTTAATCACTGTGACAAAAAAATGTTATATTTTCCTATGTGAAGCAGCAAGAATAGGGCCTCGTATGTGGTAGAGACGTTAGGAATGTTTCAAAGCATGTTTCCTACTGGTGCAAAATCATAATTATACACCTAACTCTTTGAGTTTAAATCATTAAATTGAACACAACTCTGCTCAAGCACATGAGTTTGTAAGACACAGAGCATTACAGAAAAAGTGGGGAACGACAGGTCCTCTTCTCAAATTCTGCAATTTTTCCATATATAATTACCCAGAACCACTGTTTTAATTCTTTCCTTCACCAAATGTGCTGAAGAGGTTTTGTGGTCCTCATTCCCTCATCTTAACATATAGGAAGATGGAGTGATTTTCCTAAAATACGTTTGGGGAAACTGCCTAAAGGTGTTAACATTAGTTTTATCTTTATGGTTTTGTTGTTGTTGTTTTTGTTGTTGTTATGTGTGTGTTCTATTTATTTATTTATTCACTTATTTATTTTTTATTGAATTTATTGGGGCAACATTTGTTAGCAAAATTACATAGGTTTCAGGTGTACAATTCTGTAATACACCATCCGCATAGTGTACTGTGTATTCACCACAGCAAGTCAAGTCTCTGTCTCTACTGATCCTACCTTTACCCTCTTTTACCTGCCCCTACCTTCCTTTCCAACTGGTCATCACCATAAGGTTGTCTGTGTCTATGAGGTTGGTTGTTGTTGTTTTTGCTTCATCCCTTCACCTTTTTCCCTCTGCCCCTATCCAACTCCCCTCTGACAGCTGTGAGTCTGTTCTCTGTATCTCTGAGTCTGTTTCTATTTTGTTTGCCATTTTGTTGTTGTTCATAAGATTCCACATATGAGTGAACTCATATGGGACTTGTCTTCCTCTGACTGACTTATTTCACTTAGCATAATGCTCTTCTGGGCCATCCATGCTGGTAAGATTTCCTTATGTTAATGGCCAAGTCAGTTTCCAGTGTGAAATGTACCACTGCTTTTTTATCCACTTATTTACTGATGGGCACTTGGGTTGCTTCCAAATCTTGGCTGTAAATAACACTGCCGTGAACATAGGGGTGCATTTATTCTTTCGAATTAGTGTTTCAGGTTTTTCTGAATATGTTCCCAGAAGTGGAAGCGCTGGGTCATACAGCAGTTCCATTTTTAATTTTTTGAGGAAACTCCATATTGTTTTCCCTTGCCCAATGTGATATATCAGAAAAAAATATTGCTCTGAGAAATGTCCTGCCTACGTTTTCGTCCAGGATTTTTATGGTTTTGAGTCTAACATTCAAGTCTGTCAATATTATTTCCATTCTATTCCTGTAGGTAAATTATTTTCATCTTTATTTTAAACTGTCTTTTGTTTCACTATTTTGGTAGTCAAAGGTAGTCATAGTTACAAATAAGTTTCTTGAAGCATTCCTCATATTTTACTTTAAAATTAGATCTTGTAATCTAAACATACTATGCAAAACATCCTGCATCTGAACTTTATGCTTCAGCCTCTGACCACTTTCCTTATGAACTGGAAGTAAGTACGATTTGAACCTTACTAAGGTATTTTGTGATATGGCCCCATAAGTTGAAACACTGAGATAGTTTGTATTTAAATGGTAAAGAGAACCCAGGTGACTCTGAGTTTGGCTATCCCCCCCTTTTTTAATTAATCTTCAATTGAGAATATTTTTCCATTTAATTTTAGAGAGAGAGGAAAGGAGGGGAAGAGAGAAAGAGAGAGAGAGAGAGAGAGAGAGAGAGAGAGAGAGAGAGAGAGAGAAACAGTGATTAGAGAGAGATTTATCAATTGGTTGCTTCCTGCACCTTGCACCCCCGACCAGGGCCGGGGATTGAGCCTGCAACCGAGGTACATGCCCTTGACCAGAATAGAACCCGGGATCCTTCAGTCCATGGGCCAACTCTCTATCCACTGAGCTAAACCAGCTAAGCCCGAGTTTGGAGATTTTTAAGAGCAATTTCCCCGAAGTGAGGGACGGAACTGAGGAATGGAGCTCCCCTTCTCTTAATTTTTCCTAATCAGTTCTGCCATTAGGTAGTAGCACTTAACTTCCTCTTTATTGGTAGGACAAGATTGTATTGGCAGGATCAAGCCTGAGATTAGTTCCCTCCGCAGTATATCCTCCTCAGAGGAATAAGAAACCCTCATTAAGATGGAAACCACTTAAAGCTGTAATTCAGAGGCTCGGTATTGCCTGATCAGCTAAAATAAATAACCAGAAAGGCCTTCTGGAATACAGGTTTAGCAGTTAAATGACTAGAGAGCTTCACTTCTAAGGCCAGTCTTAACCTATAGAATGTAATTTAAAACAAGGCAGCTCAGTTCTTTTTTTTTTAAAAAAAAAGGAAGGACAGTGAGAAAGTACAAAAGTAATGCATTACTAACAGATTAATAGAATGATAATCTGTTGCTGGTGTAAGCAGATAAAATGAAACAGCACATAACATTTAGAGAAAAGGACTTCAACTCAGTGCATGTTCCATAGCAACTGTGTACACAAGAGTGTGTTAACCATTAGCAGGTCACAGGGTTACTAAAACATAACGCCTGCCAGCAAGTCCTTCATAATTTGGTCAACCAACAGAGGTGTTAAAGAGAGTGATTGTAACATATTGAGAAACTCTGGAAGATTCATGAATGGAAACCCATCCAGTCTACAGTTATT